GACACTGGAAATTCTCCATGTGGTGAAGGAAATGGAAGAAATATTGTGGAGTCACCTCTGGGACTCGAACTCCAGTTCTGCCGGTCATGAGATTGACAGATAAGCCCGCTCGGCTATGATATGTACGCCGATGCATAGAACTAAGTAGCCTCATTAGGTGGTTCTAATTGGTGAGATAAAATTCTTGTTGTTTAACCGCATTAGGTGAAAGCAGTCAATAAACAGTTTTTCTCAAACTTAACAGTTTGATTACCATTTTATTTATGGTAATTTGACTGTTTTGATTAAATATGGTAAAATAACCATTCAATAAATTGTTATTTAACCATTTTTTCCGAGAAATTTCTAACAGTGCGGTTAACTAATTTATACGAGATACTTCTAGTTTAATATAAAAACCTGCGTATCTCATTCTAAAGGGTTTAACTGCAGTTCACTAAAAATAAACTTTTAGTATTTTTATAATTTCAGATGTGTTTGAGTGTTAAAAGTTTCATACAATATCCCGTTTTAATGCTTATGTACAGTGAGACAATAGGTAAGTTACTTTTTGAAATTGCTCTTTTAAATTTGATAATTGGCTTTTTATGTAATTATGTAAATTTTAACCCAATTTTTTTTATCTTGAAACTACAAAGTTTCTTCATACATAGAAATTTAGATTCTTACGTGTTTTTTAAATAAATAAAAACCTATTTCCTACTTTTTGGTAATAAAGTTATGCATTTCTTTTTCAACTTCTTAATAATTTGAATTTGAATAAGCGAAGCATTGTTTTCCATGAAATTGATTTCTTCACACATACATATTTCTGTCAAATCGATTATTGTTGAATAATTTGCAACTCAAACAATTTTCTGATATACAGAGGTGTGCAAATTAGACTAGTGCAGAGACTAGTGCATATTAATAATTCTATATAAAATTTTAATAAACTATATAATTTCTATTAATAATTATTTTATATAAAGCTGACACCTAAAAGCAATAAAATTTTGAAAAAAAAGTGATTTTATATTTGTTTGCTCTTTGAAATCATATTCTACATTTCCATTCAATTTTTTTAGCTGAATAAAAAATTTAAGAGGATCTAGAACACAAATATCTTAAAAGTTTAGATCATTTTATTTCGAAATTACCGATATTATTCATGTTTTAAATGCTTAAATAATAATGTTTTTTTTTGTATAACTGATGCGTATGAAATAGGTGAAAATTTCTTTCTTATAAACTGATTTCGTTAAACATACATATTTCTATCAAATCGATTGCTGCAAAATAATTTGTTATTCCAATAGTATTCTGTTATGCCTTATTTTATCCAAAATTAATACTTTAAAACTGAAAGAACTTGGGAAAAAATGATTTTATATGAGCGCTTCTTTAATCAAAATTTTATTTTCTGTTAAAAATATTTATGAGTCATTACATCAAATTCTTAATTTTGAAATTTTTATTACTAAAAATATGCTGATATTAAATATGTTTTAAATGGTAATGAGATGTTAAAAATTTCCATGATAATTTTTCCATATTAACTTTAAAAATATAAATATTTAAAATTACTGCATAGTTTATGTTATAGTTTAATTGATGTTCAGAAAGTTGAAGCATGTAATCCTGTTTTAGTTTTTGATAAATAATTTTTTTAAAAAAATGCTATTTTATAGCATATTTTCATTTATGATAAAAACTGAACACATTATTTTTTTTTCAAATGTTGAAAATATTTCAAAATATTTTATAAAAGATCTGAAAATATTTTTATATGTTTCTTAAGTGAATCAATTGCTTCTTACATTTTTAATATAAAAAAAATGTGTCAAAAAGGTATCCCTTACCCTTTAGAAGCACTTTTTGAGTATACAACAAAAAATCATAAATAGTGCAAAGTTTGTAAGAGATAATCATACTATACTCCTTATAAAATATATATATAAATACAGAGAAAATACATAACATATTTCTGTACTTTAATACAAAAATAAACACAGTCTGTTACACTTTATTACGAAATAAAGACTTAAATATTCACGCAAATATGAATGCGCAAAATTAATATTTGTTTCTTCAAAAAAATGAACAAGATCAAATTTTCAGAACAAAAATAATATAAGTAAAAGAACAAAAGCAGCAAATTATTATCATTGATTGCAATATGATTAATAAATTAAATGGGCAAAATGAATCAATTATGCAAGGAAACATCAAACAGACTTATAAAAACAAAAACGTTAACCCAATGCTAACCTAAACGTTCAGTTTTTAATCAAATTAATTAAGTCGCAATGTGATGTTCCCTAATTTAATTTACAATAACTTATAGAGATGAAAGTAAATTATTATTGAAGTTGAAGGAAAGTAATTAAAGTAGATAAAGAATATAATTCCTTGAATAATGAAATTATTTGGCTAATTTCATTTTGTTAAAGTGGTCGTTTCATTGAAGTGGTCATATTGAACAAAATTAACATTCGCCTTTAAATTATCAAATATTTCAAATGTAATTTTTATAATGTTTTTCCCGTTGCAAAATTTTTAACATGTTTTGATACAGAATCTTTGGAATTCAACTATTTGTTAAGAAAACTTTGAAAACTTTGTAAGTATATAACGAAATTTAATGTCATATCTTTTATGAGTTTATACCGTGGATATATTTCCAAGCCTACTTCACACCAAAGTCGTGTTCCACTAATCCAAGAATGTTTTATTACATTACTAAGTGTAAAGTAGCCACCAAAAAATTTTTTTTATTCAAAAGCATTAAAATTTATAATTATAGTTAGATAAGAGTCACAAGAAAGTCAGAAAACGTATAATAACGATACAATATGAAGTAAGAATCATTAATTTAGAGCGATATATACGCTACTTTACAAAATAAAATTAGCTTGCAAATCAAACTAGCGAGTACCGTAGAGAAAAGATAAAAACGAATTCAAACAAGGCTTAACAAAACGGAAGCTAATAGAAATTATGCAAGTTAAAATCACTTAACTGAGATTCAAATAATATATACTCACTGAGATTTAAATAATATATAATCGTAATAATTGCACAATTAAAAACATATGTGCCTATTTAAACGACGTACAATAAATCATTTAATCAAATCACAATCACTTACAGCAATAAAGAAGTGCCGATTAATTCTTGTTTACCAATACTTCTGGTGATTAAAAAAAAGTGCAACACATCGGTGCTTTCGGAAGGGAAAATATTTCTCGTTTTGTGGAAATGATCAAGAATTTGGTGTAAAATAATTCTATTATAAGTGCTTAGATTTAAATTGCATTCGCTAAGTGGTACGTGGTAGCGCGATTTGGTGTTAATCCGTGTAAAGGGTTTCTTCACAAAATCCTTTGAGTTGTTCAACATCATATTCGAAGGGATATTATACAACAGGTTTTATAGTGTAACCATTAGAAATTTGAAAATAAAATCCTGAAAAAAACATGTATATTATGAATTTTTTTTGGTAGCAAGGTTTTCTTTCTTGCGCCTTTAACATGCCTTAACGTGCATTTAAATGTTGTGTTCTAACGTTAATATACGAAAATTCGGTGTAGTTCGAAAAGACGAATTCGAAAAGACGTTCGAAAAAACAAAGAAAAAGCAAAAAGACTTTGCAAAATATTTAAAAGAAGACCTGAAACAAATAGAAAAAAAACCAAGTTATAGAATTAATTGTTGCCAGTTAGTTTAATTTATGGAATAATAAGTTCATTTAACAAATTTGATTCAGATTTGTTTTTGTTTGTTTTTTAAATTGGAAATAATTACTTGATATTTCCTTATTTCAAATAATTGCCTGTGACATTTCCTTAGGCTTTTAATTAATGCTGTATAGGTTTAATACACCTTTTTTATTTATTGTTAGTCAATCCCTTCTACTTGTGGGAGGTTTGATCCAGTTTTTACACTCTTAAAAAATCATTAACTAAAAGAGTTCATAACTTAAAAATAATAATAATCATGTAAACATGGGACAAACATTATAAGCTAGCAAATAGTAACAACTGTATTTAAAGAAAATAGAAAAATATTTTTTGTAAGATACTAATATGTTTCCCAGTACATTTTATGATCATGTTATCTAGTTACAACATTGAATTGTATAGTCATTTCTATTTAGATAACTCTGCAACCAATCGTATTTGGAACCTAGCGGTAAGTGTTAAAGCTAGACAACTCTTAAAATGAACTAGATAACTAGAACTAGACAACTTTTAAAATAGATAATTTCTGTAAATTTTCATAATTATGATAATTAATTATTATATAATTTGATCAAACTTTTCTTTTACACTTCTTGTGTCGGGAATAAGATATAAGCCTGGCTGCTTTAAAATTGTTTTAAAACAGCCAACCTTTCAAGATAAATTGGCTTCTTTAAAAAACTCAACGTATAATTTTTTTAAATTTAATTTCTAAGCTTTAAACGTGTTTTTCTCGGAATGGTTTTAATTAACTGACAAAACTCGAATAAAGTTATCCAAATCTTTAAGGAATCAGTTTTGAATGTTTTTTTTTATTCGAGATTTAGAAGAAGAAATATTTCTTGGTTTTAATTTTGTATTAAAAATGAAATTAAAACCCATTTACAAAAGTACTACTGTTCCGTATAAAGTTTTTCATTTCGAGCGAACAAATATTTTGCACTGTTACCAAATTTAAAACACGATTTAGAGAAAAACTCTTTTTAAGATCTATTGCCAATTTAGCATTTCTAATTCTAATGAAATTAGGTACAACATATAATATTAACAATATATTAATGGTACTGGGGTACAATTAAAATTAAGCATGAATATGTTTAAAATTAAGAAACTAAAAACAGAAATAATATGTTTGGTTTTATTGAACTTATTTTGCTCTAACCAGATGTAATAAGTATAATACAAGTATAATCTCAGCTAAACATAATATAGTAGTATCAAAAGATTTCGATTAAATTTTTTCTCTCATTTTACAAAGAATTTGTTTTTGTATTAAATATGGATTGTAGTTTATCTCTTAAAAGTAAGTTTGAAAATATTTCAACTGAAATTTAAAACTGATAATGTAGGATAAATTTTACTCACACAAAATGTAATAAACATAATTTAAGTTTAGCTTTGGATTGCAATCATAATATTTCAGAAGAAAAGATTTAGATTTCAAATTGTTTCAGCATTTTTAGAAGATTTTGCTTTAGTATTTAATATAGATTTAGTATAAGCTCTAATAAGCTAAAAAAATTGCTTTTTTTGACAATAAATTTAAATTTAATCAAAAATTTATAATAAAGTTTCTTTATTTTAAGCATTCTTATCTTCTATTTAAATGAATCGATAATATTTGTTTTTTTAGCTAACCTTAGAAGCTGCAGTATTAACCAAATCATCAATAATCGTATCTCTCAGCCTACTAGCTTTAGTTACAGTTTTACTCATTTGAGCTGGATCCAATAATTCACTCATTTGAGCTGGATCCAATAATTCACTCATTTGAGCTGGATCCAATATTTCACGAGTGTCCACTCCTGTATAGAATAGTAAATTAACTTTATAAAAAGGAAAAGAGTTAGAAGCGTTGAATGATTTCACTGCAATCACAGAAAACTGTCTATCTAATCTTAATCATTTTTCTTCAAACATTTTTGGTAAAATAATGCTATAATCTTTCAATAATTGATAGCAATTTTATAATGTTAAGAAATTTCAAATAAGTTTGTCATTATAACTAATGCTAAATTTTTTAGCGAAGTGCCTTTATCAATTTGACAGCAAAATCAGCAAAGAAGGAACTTTTTCTTCTCCCAATTATCCCAAAAAATATTCCGGAAATATGGATTGCTACTACAACTTCATGGGTCATGATTTTGAAACGCTTAAAATCATATTTCACATTTTTGACCTTGAACCTCCATACTCCAAAGGGTAAGAAATAAATATTATTTTCTGTAATTTATGTAACACCGAAACATTGAAGGCAAATTTTTGAGAATTTTTTTATTCACATAAGGAATATTTTTTTAAGCGCCATTTTGTTTCTTTAGAAGCCTGAGGTAAATAATTTTTGTGCTTTTGGATAAAAAGCATTCTTTTTATTATATAAATTAAAAGGCTGCATTGTTAATATATCGAATTTTTTTAAGAAAAGTCCATAATTTTTTTAATTCGCATGAAGGATATTTTTTTATGTCATAAGTGCCATTTTGTTGCTTTAGAAGCCTGGGGCGTATACATTTTGTGCTTTTAAATAATAAAATCGTTTTTTTTTTAAACTTTAGAAATGAAAAGGCTGTTTTTTTTAATATATCGTAATTTTTTAAGAAAAGACCGTAATTTCTTAAACTGTACGTGGTTTTGTTATTCAATACGATTTAAACAATTCATTCAATATGCTTAAACTGTTTAAAATTATGAAAGTGTTTCCCTGACGTTTTAGCACAACATTATTTTGTGATTTTACATCACTAAATAATGAAAGTACCATCACCAAAAGTACCATCCTTAAAAAAGTGATACAGAAATAGTTCGTAAGCTAACTTAGTTGGCTATCACTCATATTAAAAATATTGCAAACGCATAGTTTCAAATAAAATAAACTAACAATACTAATATATTTTGGTGAACACGAATCTCCGCTTGTAAAGATAAACTAAAGGAATGAAATAATAAAAAATTTAGCGGTTTTCATAGTTTAAAAGAGGTACACTGGACAATACCAGAGTTTTGATAGTTAATGGGTCAATCTAAAAACAACTGTATATATCATATGAAGACCACAGGCAAAGAACGATTTATTTCCATTTTTCACAAAAAGGACGATTGGATCACCATCCGTTGCAATTTGAGGATTACTAAATTTTGAAAAATCAATAACATGAAAATAACTTTCCCTGAGAGTTATTACAAAATAAAGATGGGTTATACTCTTGAAAACACTTCCTTTTCACGTGTAAATTCTTTTTTTTTCCCTCCAAATCATGTTTTATGCATATAAAACATTTTTCCCCCGTAGTTTTCATATGAAAACTAGGTTTCAGATGAATTCGCCAATGATTTGGAAATATAAGCATTTTTACGCAATTTTTAACAAAATAATGAACGAAATCAATCACAAAATCTAAATTTGCGACCGATCAATCAAATTTATGACCGAAATCAAACATATAGTTTTCGAGAAATGGAAATTTAAAAATAATACTTTCATTGAAGCGTTATATTTTTCATGGAGTACTCAACCTATTTCATTCAAATTTTTGACTTTGTCATTCAAAATAAGTTAGTTTAATGTGATATAAATATTTATTTATCCAACTATTCAAAAATGTTCCAATCATTATTAGATTGAATGATAAAAAAATTATTGACCTTTATTAAAATTATTTCTCACATGGAATTATCTTCAAAATAACGAGTTTTATAATTGTGATAAAAAATTCTTTGATTCTATTAAACAGTTTTAGTTTCATAGCGAAGTATGCAAAAAATTATTTTAATTAAACATTTAATTAAACATTAAACACTAACATTAAAAGACACAAGCTTTCGACCGCTCTCTTGTCTAAACTATATTTTCAAGATTGCGACTTTTCCCAATTTTGAGTATCAAAAATACACATCAATTGCAAAAAAAACGTCTGTTTGTTCAGTGAAAGTACAGTTTTAATTTAATTTTGTAACTTAAGATCTTCACTAAAGAACTAGCAAATGCAAAGTAAACGCCTTGAATCCCAAAGATTTTTGAGCCTAAAAATCTTGTTTGTAGATCAGAATTTATTCACGTGTTCTCCTTTATATTTTATGTGCACTGAACATTAAACTACAAAATCAAGTTTTTTTTCCCTCTTTTCACCAGAAGTATGTATTAATTTTGACATGATATATCGGAACTAAAACAAAATAAATACCTTTTGTTATAAACATTTTTAAAATCATGAACCTATTCAGAAAAAGAAAATCTGTTTTAAAGATGATAATAAAAATAAAGAAATAAAAATTCAGAGCTGTTCAATAATATATACCAGCAATATATTTGAAATAAATGGAACTTCGCAAAATTTTATCGTTCATGTAGACCAATACTAAACATGAGAAATGAATTATTCATTTTTGGAGTTATTTATTGTCCTTCCCTGTGGGCATCTAGCAGATATTGATACAGATATAACACAGGATATGAGCAGAAGATAGAAATCAAAATAAATCTTTGGGAGGACATACAAGTAATGTGCCTAAAAATAAATAAAAAAGTAATAGTTATGAATAATTATAATCAAAATTTAAAGAACCTTTAGAGAAACAATATAAACTATTAAAAAACTTATAGAAGCAGAAAATAAATTTTAATAAAAAAAATGCAAGAAAATAACTATATAAAAGAAGAAGCAATAATTGCCTCCAGTTTTCTAGTTTTACTGTTCATCGATAACAATAATTTTAAAAATATATATTTATTTGAAATAAATTCAAAGATTTTAATTGATTAAAATACTTTACTCGCTTCAAAAAATATACAGATTTGAAATAAGAAATACAAGAATACGAGAAATTATCAAATGCTGCGCATTGTTGGAATCTTGGACATGGACTGAATTTCGTCAGAGCCAAAATTATTTTCACCACATATGTCATCAGCTTATCTTGATGGCCTGGAATTTTGTTTCATTCATATGAATGATTCCCTTCCCGAAGACATTAGTTCCTCACCATCACTCCATAACGCGTGGAAATACATTTTACGTCAGGCAAGTCTTGAATGTAGGTACCTATTTTTGAGCGCTTGAAACAAGTCAACTGCTTTTCTCTTCTTTTTTTTTTTCAAATCTGTATATTTCTGAATAGAATGAAGTTTTTACACTAAGTAATATTTACTTGTTATTTTATTCAAAATGAAGAACATAATTAAATCACTTTTAAAATTAATCTTTTTTGCCGCCTGCATTTAAACTGATAAGTTATTGATATTTATTAAAACTAGAGTTTAAAAAATAATACCGTGAATAACACAGTGCTGCCGAAATCATGAAATATTTGAATATTTTACTTGTTTCTTAGTACATGCTACATCAAATCAGTTCAAACAGAAAAAAAGATATCTCAAACCAACCTCTTTCGAATATTTTAAAACGAAATCTAATAATACACTAAAAATTACGCAAGAAACAATAAAGTGTAATACAGTTTGTTTCATATTAAATTGTTTTATAAGTGTATATGTTATTATTTATAATGAAAAATGTCATTAACGCGTTATATTGTTTGAAGTCAGATGTATTAGGCTAGTAAGATTACATTAGAAAATTAGACAATCTACTAATACAATATATGAATAAAATATAAGTGAATGAATCATGGAAGCTAAACTAAAAACAATAAGAAGCATGTAAATATTTGAACAATTACTACAAATCATTTTTGCCAATTTTAAACTTATTTAAATTGAATAGAATCAGGGTTTGAGATTTCAAATGTCCTAAACTGGTTAACACCAGTGAGAATTCCTTACTCTAACATGTCTTAAATTGTTCAAAAGTGTCTAAAATTGTAAAAGAGTGTAATAATGTGTTCAAAACATGCCATTCTGAAAATAACTAAAACACTAACAATTCGAAATATAAACACAATACACTTATTGCCGGAAAAAAAATATCAGATTATATTTTTTATGAAATTTAATTTTAAATATTATCTTAATGTTAATTTTTAAAACAAAATCCAAATTCAATTTATGCTTAAGATCATAACAATAAGCTTTGAAGTACATAAGAACATGAAAGATATATTACATAAACTTAAATCATAACAATGAAACTTTGTAATTAAAAATTGTCTTAACTCTGAATAGTTAAAAAAAGCAGCTATTTTTTTAAAATAAATAGCAAAGACGAAATTTCCAATTAAGAGCTTCCTTTTAATTAATATATGTACTTTTTTACAAATTCAGTAAGTGCTATTTTTGTAACTACTCAACAATGTTCACCAGAAGCTACGCTACAATATGAACAGTTAACGACAGAAAATATTATAACTCTTTTTAACTCAATAGCTTTTATTATATATGATTCAAGGAAATCTATACATATTTTATGCATTCAACAACTGTTTAATTTATAAATTGTCAATTTTATGTTATAATTCGCTTCTAATACCTCGCTATTTTTGTTAGAACTTCAATAAAGTCTCAGCTGAGGACATATGAGTTTTGAACAGTTTAAGAATAATTTGAACAAAATCATATAAAAACCATACTTTTACTGCAATGGATTATATGGTGTGTCCTAAATCTTACCTACTCTGATTGAAAATAGGCATGTAATAAACATCCCTAAATATACGATGAAAATAATAAATATATATTTTTTAATGTTCTGCTGCATTTGTTCGACGTTTTAGGTGTCTTACCGATTACGTAGATGTTTCTACAATAACAGCATCGGATGTAAAAGAACTGGTAGGACGATACTGTGGCAAAAGAATAGATAGCCCTCTTTTATCCATGCATCCAAAAGCAGAAATCATCTTCCGATCCAATCACATTGTTCACCATAAAGGTTTTTATGGCACGTATGAATTCAGGGAAGAAAGTAAGTTTCGCATTTTCTTAAATCCTTTCTGTTACTGCAGGTGATTTTCTCATCTCATTTTATTCGACCATTAGAATCTTGGGTAATTATTATATTTTCGGTGTTTCTGGATATTTTTTTACGTTTTTATGAAAGTCAATAAAAGTAAACATGAATTATGTATGGTTCCAAAGCGTGGGTTGATTTTCTTCATTCCAATTTTGAGCATGCTTCGATGTTTTATTTCAAACCAAGACTAGAGAACTGTTTTTTCAGTTTTTCTTAGAAATATAGTTAATTACTCTAGTGATTTGTTTAATTACATAATTTCTTTTCTAATAAAATTCAGAAACTGATTTGGAAAATATGTTTCATTAAAACAAGTAGCCGCTTTCAAATTATGATGAATTAAATACTACAGAACATCTTATATAATATTTTAAATATTTAAATATTCATCAATAAATATTCATCAGTATTGAAACTGCTAAATATTCATCAATTACTTAACTAATGAACTAAAATTTGTTTTCATCTTAACATATATATTTTGCTCTAGTTACATTCAAAAATTCAGTTCAAAATTAAAATGTCAAATTCCAGTTTTTTTACATAGACTTTCTTTCACATAGAGACCTCATAATGAATCTGCTATATATATNTATATATATATATACATAAAAGTTACAAATACAAAAAAACAAGAAAAAATATAATTTTAAAGAGAAATAGAAACATTATAACAAATATATTGTTTTTTAAAATACATAAATTTCATTTAAAAATTTTTAAAAAAGTTGAAAACAAACAAACAAGCCGTAAAACAAAATAAGGAGATTATATAATCTCGTTATCAGCCTACACTATTATATCAGCAAAAAAGATTCTAATATTGTATTAACATAGCGAAATCAAAATATATCAATACAATAGTGTGAGTATACATGCTATATATACTCTTTTAAGGATCATCCTTATCCAAATTTCAGATTTCTACTTAAGTATAATACTTATCGGTGGGTATTGCTTTTCATCAATATTATTGTTAGTTTGAGATATAAAGCTCATAACTTAAAAGAATACAGGTAATTAGTATTGCCAAAAATTTTAGAACAAGAAACAATACAAAAGAAAACAATAAACTTCAGCAAGCATATTAAACACCCATTAGAACATGCGTGTAAATAGGGACGTTTCAGTGGTTGCATTTAAATAATAAAGTGGTTGCATTTATAAGTGGACGTATCATTGGTATCAGAAATTTACTGCAGTAAATATGTTCCACCGTAAAAATGCTTCTTTAAAGAAAACTTATCTAGGTGGAAATTTCAAATTAAATCACAAATTATTTAAACTTCAAGAAAAAATAATATTTGTGATAAATTCTGAACATCTGATTATATGAATTTTCTTTTCAACTCTTGTTTTCTTCTTTAGAGTAAATCAAAATATTTTACTTTATTCCATGAGAAAAATTGAGATGTTATTTACCTATAAAGAAATAAGATACTCTCTGAAGAAATTTATGAAACTCACAGGAATATAATATTGTATATAAGTTTTCTCTGTAATGATGTTATTATCTTTATTCTTCTATTCTTTTCTATAGTTTTCTTTTTCCTAAACAAATGTGATATGTTTGTGAACAAATTATATATTTTATATTTTAAGAGTATAAAATATTTTAAGTTCCTTGGATGATATAAACTAGCTAAATTCTTTATTGGATAACATAAACTATGAATAAGAATTCTTTACATGCAACCTTTTCTTTTGAAAGAGAAAAATAAACATAAACTTTTCCTTTTAAAGTGATTGCATAATGGGAAGTAAAAGTTATGATCATGCATTATACAAAAATGAAACGAGCATTTTAGCACATAACGTTTTTTTTCTTTCATTTTTTTGCATGATAAGAAAAAAAAATATTTCTTTTTATACTCTAATGTAATTTCTTTATAGGAATTCATGAGAGTAGAGGACAAAATATTTTTTTTATTATTAAGCTATGAATCAAAGGTTTAAAAAATTTGACAACTTTAAAAAATAAAATAAGCCATGAATTTTTGTTTTTATGCGTGAGTTAGTTTTTTTTTTCTTTTCAAATGTGCAAATTAGATAATTTCCTTTTAAAATTTAATGAATTCACTGAGGCAAAAAAAATAAATGTGCCTTGATTCAGACTATACAAATAAGAATTCTTAGTCAAAGAATAAAATTTTTTCTTCTACCAACAATCTCTATTTATTGGTTGGTAAAAAATAATATTTTTTGAATATTTTATCCGCAACTCCATTCGAACATGAGATTGTGGTATTTGGCTATCAAGGAAAATGTATTGCGCAGAATATAAAACGAAACACCTTAATAACTTTTGGTCTAATGATCAGATGGTCACGTACTGAGATGCAAACTTAATGACTCATGGGGCTGACGTTAAATATGCTAAATAGCTGATGCAACATTGAAAATGTGAAACCTATAAAAATTTCAATTAATCAAATGGGTGGCCGAAAGTTTTCTTATTCTTTAATTAATTTTTGGATTATTTTGCAGTATCTTCAAAACTGTTTTAGAGGAATCAAAAAAAAATTTGATCACAAACAGGAAATTTTATTATTTTGATTATTTAATTTTATGATGATTGGAAACAGTTTTACAAGTAAGATACGCATTTCTTTAATTTATTTTAAACTATCTAAATTTAAATGAAGAAATATTTGAAAACATTTGACTATCGGGCTATTACTTCCTGATAAATGAAAAGTTAAAAAATACTTATTTGAAGTTCCATTAATAACCTATACTACAGATTTCGCTCAATTTATATTTTGTCATTGAAAATTACATTACTTCAAATTGTAGTAAAATTCCTATTAGCTGTAATTGAAAATATGCATTAGATAATTATTAACTCAAATTATAAAAATATAATAAATAATTGGAAAAATTATATTTCGCAGGATCTTTATTTTTAGATTAACGGGTTCTAAAACAGTGTGTAAAAATTTTTTCTTTCTCTCAAATAGCTATAGAGAAAATTGGAAATACACAAAAAGTGTAATTCATAATTAGAGAATTCAAATTTTTTGCCACTCTTTTGCATGGACTATTTGGACAATATTTTATAGATTGTGGCAACCACCTATACTTTCAGTATGTCAATAATCTAAATTTTGTGAAAAAAGCATGTGTGTTGCAGTAAAAGTACGTTTCAGTGTTTGTTTTTTCTACTTAAAATATCGTGTGCACTAATTAATTAGTATATTTAGTGTCAGTCTTTCAAACCATTAAAATTGCATCCTAGTACGTGAAAATCTGATCTCTAGAATAAAAGTTCCTTACGTGTTCTGTTTTTTTTTCTGTGCTCTGTAAAGAAATTTCTAATTTAAAAGGAACTTCTTACAACTAAACTATGATAGACAAACATAAATGATGATGTTCTTAAAGTCATTTAGGTATATTAAATTATATTAAAGATCTATATATAAATGTAATATTAATAAAAATATTTTATTGTGTCCTCAAAAGGTTCTAAGGTCTTAAGTATTAAATTTATATTTTGACTTATTAAAACTCACTTTTTTGTTTAACAAAAAGGCATTGTTTAAAACCGTATATTTTTTGGTTTTCATTACCGAAATTAGAGTTTTAATTACCAGAAATGTCAAGAAGTCTAATATTAAATGCTTAAGGAAGAAAAAATTCTGGTAAAATTACCTTACTGTATGGTAAACACAGTAAAGTAATTTCACCAGAATTTTTTCTTCCTTAAAATTACCATATTTTAACGGACATCTCCTTATAACAGAGAGATTTTGCAAAGCGTTACAATTCTCTCTAACTCTAACGTTAACGTTATACAATGTTATAGTTACGTTATAGTTATAGTAAAGTTATAGTTAAGGTTAACGTTATACAAACTCTACGCAAAATCTCTCTTTTATCTTAAACGAATAACATTGCCGTTGAACACGTTAGTGTTTAATTTTTCTACCTTATATTCCTTATTTTACTTCATTTTTATCTATAAATGCATCTTAAAACTGCATATAGCAGCCAAAAAAAGTTAAAAGTTTAGAAAAAAAATTTAATTTCGAACGGGGAAAGAAACTAAATTTTTTCACAGTAAAAAAAAAATCATGAAAAAGAAAGAGAAAGGAAAACTATACGTCTAGTCTGAGAGGTTTTTATAAATCTCGTATGTTGTTGCTTAGACAAATCTGCAGGATATTAAAAATAGTGAACGACTCAAAACAATCACTTAGAAAAGTCAAAAGTAGTTAAAAGTTTAGAATGTAAGAAATAAAAGAAACTTCGAGTTTGTATATTACAACTTTGCCGAAGACATAAAAGGAATTCTACCTTTACGTGCTTCAAAATTAGAAGTATATACTATTCATAGAAAGCGCTTAGAAGCAGAATTAACTAAATTAAAAGATTTATTTCAATTTCTTTTAAAAAGTTTAATTATTCGTGATCTTTTGCAATCAGAAGTAATTTAATTGAAACTAACAGGAAGCCTTTCATACATTTTGGAGTGATATACGTCAGGTTTCATGTTATTCTCATTCCATCTTTTGGACAGGAAATCATTATATTTTGGGTTACACTGCTTCGCTGGAAGCTATTATTTTGTGAAATACTACTCTAGCATTATTATTTTATGAAATGAACAGCTGTGTGCATCAGAAAATAATCTCAGGAAATTATCTGCACCTTTTTAAAAATTTTGAGAGAAGCACACTTCTAATCTCCGAGATAAAAATTAATTAACGTTTTTAGAACCACAAAATGCCAAATTGCAGATACTTCAGGCTTTTGTTTTCTAAGCATGTTGCTAGTTCTTTTATTACTTGTTTTCTTTACTTTAGAACTATTAATTGACAACATTTAGTTTTTCTTTAGAAAAAGGAAGTTAATTATCTTTTTTTGAGTTACTAATTTGAGAAAAAAGACAAATTATAGATAAACTAAAAAAGATAAATAATTAAATGTCTTAGATTGAAGATAGCTTTTCG